ACCGGGCTGCACAGAAAGAACTTGCCTTTTTTCCGTTTTATTAATTTCGGATTGCGAAATGTTTTATTTTGAAAAATTACCGGATTCTCTGTTACATCCGTCTGTGTCACGCTTGACTCACGTCAAGGCACACTTCTCGGTCAGGTGACCGATGACGCTCATAAACAAAAGGCTGAAGCCCGCAAAATGAGTAAAAAAGCTGCTTGGAGATCGCAAATGACGGCGGCCTTAAAAGTACGTTCGAAACAACTGGATCAAAGTTATGGCTGAATACTCTGAGATCGCCACAATAGCACTGTTGCTATTTCCGGCATCCTACCTGTGTGAGGTGTGGAGTTTCTGCAGCAACGGCGACTAAAACAAAATTACGAAGTAGACTCGACATAAACCACACACTTGAGGTGTCATTCCCCCGAGATGGGACTGTCTGATTGCAGAAAATCAAGCTCGGGGCTGTGGTGAGTCGTCATTTTCATGCACTTTGAATTTGCGTTGTATCGTATTTTGAAGGCATTAAACATTACCAGAGCAATCAGTGCAGTCTAAGCATTCTTGTAGAGCTAGCTTTGCTTCATCTGTCCATTTTTTCACAGTCTTAACAACCGGTTTAACACATTTGAGTTTCTGTCTGTATGTAGGTATTAAGTGGATTAAATTGTGGTCAGAAAGACCCAATGCTGCACGGGCGATCGATCGGTATGAATTTTTGATTGTTGTATAGCAGTGGTCTAGAATGTTGCCTTCTCTGGTGAAACAGTCAATGTGCTGCTTATATCTGGGAAGTTCACGGTTAAGATGTGCTCTATTAAAATCGCCCAAAATGATCAGGGGTGACTCTGGGTATTTTAGTTCGAGTTTGTTTACTTGTTCAGATAGCGTTTGTATCGCCGTGTTAGCGTTAGTTTGTGGCGCAATGTAAACACCGACTAGTAAAAAGGAGGTGAACTCACGTGGCGAGTAGAATGGCTTGCAGTTTAAAGACAGCGACTCCAGGTCTGGGCTGCAGTGTGCGTCGAGCTTCGTGACATCGGTGCACCATTCTTTGTTGATATAGAAGCAAATCCCACGACCTTTCGATTTCCCTGATAGCTCCGTGTCCCGGTCGGCTCAGAGAAGGCGGAAGCCGGGTAGATGTAGCGCGGAGTCCGGGTGGCGGTCACTGAGCCAGGTTTCAGTGAAGCAGAGCGCAGCAGAATGTGCAAAGGTTTTGTTGGTCTTTGTGAGGAGAAGAAGTTCATCCATCTTGTTTGGCAGAGATCGTAGATTAGCAAGATGGATCAATGGGAGCGGGGTTCGAAATCCACGCTGCCGGAGCTTGACGAGCACGCCGGCTCGCTTCCCCCTCCTCCGGCGGCGTTTCCATGCTCCGTACAGCGCAGCCGCTCCACACGCGATTAGCTCCGAAAAACCTTGTGGATTTTCGTGTGCTGGTGAAAAAAGACCGAGCGTAGACTCCCCAATGCTAAGCAACTTTTCCCTTGTGTAAGTAAGCCGCTCAGGGTCGCCAAAAACTTAACGAAAATGACAAAAACAGGGATAATACTAGGGAGCGTGTAACCGAGGCTGCCATACCTGTCGGCGCCTGATGACGTATTAACCCTGTAATACCCGAACCAGTTTCTCCTGAGCCCTGTCTTTCCACCCCACGGCCATTCGATGGCAACTTTGAGACCTGCGCCACGTTCATCGTGCAGTGTGAGCTGGTTTTTGTTCGCCAATCCAGCATGTTCGCAACTGACTCTGTCCGCATTGCTTACATGGTGAATCTGCTCACGGGTCAAGCAGCACTGTGGGTCACCGCTTCCTGGTCCATGGGTGCCAGCTTCTGTCACTCATACAATGACTTTGTGACAGAGTTACGTAAGGTGTTCCACCACCCCATCCGCGGTCAGCATCTAGCACTCGGTTGAGTAGTATCCAGCAGGGCAGTGGCAGTGTCGCTGACTACTCAGTGGAGTTTAGGCTGGCTGTGGCGGAGAGTGGCTGGAATGACCCGTCACGATGTTTTACCTTCCAGAATGGCCTCAGCGACACCGTCAAGGACCAACTGGCTACTCGTGAGGAGCCTTCCTCACTTGACGAACTGATAAACCTCTCAATCCATATCGATGGACTGCTACGAGAGAGAAAGCGTGAGCGAGCACCGAGTAGCTCTTTGGTCACCCCTCAGGCACCGATAACACACATAACAGTCACTCCTCCCCTCTCCACTACACCTCAGGCCAACCCCGTTCCACCCCAAGGCACAGTAACGGAGGGACCCATGCAACTCGGACACACACGTCTCACTCCAGCTGAACGAGAGGCCCGGTTCAAAGCCAGCCTCTGCCTCTACTGCGGCCAGAAGGGACATTTTATCAGAGGCTGCCACACCCGGCCAAGAAGATTAGGCTCACTTGGACCCCGGGAGATCCTTGTGAGCCGCCTGTCTTATCCCCGTCATCCTGTCACACCTGATAAGCTGGTTAGCGTCACTCTGGCCTGGGCTGGCCAGCGACTCACGGAAGGGGCTCTCCTTGATTCGGGGGCTGACGAATGTTTCCTGGACTCAGAATTTGCTGCTGAGGCTTCCATCCCAGTAGAGACACTAGAGAGGCCCCTGGAGGCTTTCGGGCTGAATGAGCATCACCAAGCTAGCATCACTCAGCGCACCCGCCCAATTTCCCTCACCATAGCAGGTAACCACATGGAGACACGTCAATTCTTCATCATCCAATCTCAGTTAATCCCTGTAATTTTAGGGTGCCCCTACTTCATTCAGCATGAACCAAACATTGCTTTGTCCTCTGGAACTATTCTGGAATGGAACCCCTAGTGTCATGCCCAGTGCCTACGGGCCGCGAATAGTACCTCACTCCGCCAGGTCTCCAGTGTCCCTCCTCCAAATCTTTCATCTGTTCCCCCCGAGTACCATGATGTTGGGGAGGTTTTCAGCAAGGCCAGGATCAGTCTCTCCCCCCACACCGGCCTTATGACTGTGCTGTCAACCTCCATCCCAGGGCTGCCCTCCCTAGCAGTCGTCTGTATAGTCTTTTTATCCAGGAGAAGACTGCTATGGACAAATATATTTCGGAGTCGTTGGCGGCAGGGCTCATCCGGCCCTCATCCTCACATGTGGCAGCTGGCTTCTTTTTTGTGAAGAAGGAGAATGGTGGCCTCCAACCCTGCATTGACTATCGCCAACTCAATGACATAACGCTCAAGAATAAGTACCCCCTACCTCTTATGAACTCTACTCTCGAGCCCCTCACTCAGGCTACTGTCTTCACAAAGCTGGATCTCAGGAATGCCGACCATCTCGTCTGGATCCAGAAGGGGGACGAGTGGAAGACAGCGTTTAAACTCCCCGTGGTCATTATGAGAACCTGGTAATGCCGTTCGGCGTCACAAACACCCCTGCGGTATTCCAGGCACTCATGAATGACATCCTCCGCGACATACTTGACCAGTTTGTTGTGGTCTATCTTGATGACATTCTCATCTTCTCCATGTCTCTAGAGGAGCATGTGAAACACATGATACAGGTTCTCAAATGACTCCTTTGTAACCGGCTCTTTGTCAAGGTTGAGAAGTGCCGGTACCATTCGGATTCGATTGAATACCTTGGTTTCATCCTGGAAGAGGGTAAGACTCGGGCATATCATCGTAAGATCCAGGCGGTAGTGGACTGGGGAGATTCCACGTCTCGGAAGGAACTACAGAGCTTCCTAGGGTTTGCTAACTCCTAAAGGAGGTTTATCCGTAACTACAGCAGTGTGGCTGTACCACTTACCAGATTAAGCTCCCAGTCTCAACCGTTTGTTTGATCCCCTGCAGCTCTCTCTGCCTTCCGGTTGCTCATGGAGAGATTCATCAGTGCCCCCGTTCTTCTCCATCCTGATCCCAAAAGACAGTTCATTGTGGAAGTGGATGCCTCCAACACCGGGTTGGGGGCTGTGCTCTCACAACGGTCAGAGACTGACCAAAAGGTTCACCCCTGTGCTTTCTTGTCCCGCCGGTTCCTTCTCACTGAGGTGAACTACGAAATTGGGGACCGAGAGCTGCTAGCGGTGGTGGCTGCACTGGGGGAGTGGCGCCACTAGCTGGAGGGAGCAGAGTAGCCATTTACTATCTGGACGGACCATAAGAACCTGACATTCATCCGTGCTTCCAAGCGCCTCAACGGTCGGCAGGCATGCTGGGCCCTGGTTCCCGCAACTCTAAGGCAGACGCCCTTTGCCGACAACACCCACAGAAGCCTGCTACCGAGGAACCCCTCCGCATCCTCCCTGAGAGAAAAGTGATTGTCATGATGACCTTGAGTCTGGAGGCTGCTGTCAACCGTGCTTTCCGCTCCCATCGAGCTCCGAGCAACGTCCCTCCTCACCGGCTGTTTGTTCCGAACCCTGCTCGCTCTCGGTTACTCCAGGGGTGCCACGCTAGCCGGTTTGCTTGCCACCCGGGTTTTCATCTTAGCTTCACCTTCCTGGCTCGGAGGTTCTGGTGGCCCACCATGAGAAAGAGATGTTAAGGAATTTGTCATGGCCTGCACGGTCTGCGCTCGCAGCAAGGCTTCTCACCGGTCTGCTGCAACCCCTACCTACACCCAGTCGGCCCTGGTCCCATGTGGCATTGGACTTTGTGTCCGGACTTCCCCCTTCTCAAGGTAACACTGTGATCCTAACAGTGGTGGACCGTTTCAGCAAGGGAGTTCAGCTGGTGGCCCTGCCGAAACTTCCAACGGCCTCAGAGACTGCTGAACTCCTCATGGCCCATGTGTTCCTCCTGCATGGCCTTCCCAAGGACATTGTCTCGGATCAAGGACGTCAATTCGTCTCCCGTGTATGTCAGGCATTTTGCAAGGGGTTGGGCGCTTTTGTTAGTCTCGCCTCGGGTTATCGCCCCCAGACCGACGGGCAAACTGAGAGCATGAACCAGAGCATGGAGTCCACCCTTTATTGTGTGGCCGCGAAGAACCCTGCCTCCTGGGTCGAATACGCGATCAACTCCCTGGTCCGCTCCACTACTAGACTCTCGCTTTTTGAGGTTTCTCATGGTCACCAGCCACCCATCTCTCTGCACAGGAGTCTGATGTGGCAATTCCTCCCGTGCAGACCGACCTGGACCGCTGTTGCCATGTATGGGTCAAACACTAACACAATTGTTTTTATTGTTTGAAGCATATTCAAAAATGAACATCAATTTCCAATATATGACATCGGTGCCAGACACCATACAATTCCCCAGGAGCTTGTTTGACCCCAATTCACCTCTATTCCACCATTATAGGTCATTTAAACAGAGTTGCAATTGGCGTTTATTCTATTTATCGTTTTCCATTTGACAAAGTTACCGTGCCAGCAATGTATGTGGTTTATCACCAAATTCAAAAAAATTCTGTTGTTTGGTATACTGTTTACTTATTTTCATTGACTTGCTTATTTTCATTGACATTATTTGAATAGACTCGCACTTTAGTGTTGCTATCTTTCTGTGTAGAGCCATGGATGGGGAGTGAGCATTTTCATTATCTAATGATTTAATTTTTTTCCTCCAAATCTGTTACTTTAGCAAGGTTTGCTTTTTTTCCTTGAAGCTTCAAACGAGCTTACAATACCTCTGATGAAGTTCTTGCACGACTTCCAAAGTGTAGATGGAGTAATCTCAGGAGTATCATTCATCTCCAAGTAAAGAGAAATGTGATTCACTGAAGTTATTATCTACATGCAGCTGTGAATTAAACTTCCAGGAATTATGTGGTTTACCGAGATGATCTAAATTTACGAGGAAGGAAAGTGGACTATGATGATAAATCTCAATATGATGACATTAGGTACAAGTCTGGCATCTACAAAGACAGGGGTCGGGAACCTATGGCTCGCGAGCCATATGTGGCTCTTTTGGTGATTGCATCTGGATAAAACAAAATATTCTCGCTTGTTTAATCCATCCATTGATTTTTTTTTTTACTGCTCATTTCCTGTTGAGGGCTGCAGTTGGCTCCAGGAGCAATTTTGATTGGGCAATACTGGCCTACGTTGCCGTTGCTGCGGAAACAGGTAAACGCCCCGTTTTGAATCAGCCTGCTCGGTCATTAGCTCAAAGCTAATCCGACACGAATAAGATGGCGAAAAGAAAAAAACAAAATGACGAGTATGGTACACTTTAGGACGAATGGACTGAAGGATTCGCCTTTGTGGAGAGAACAGGCTCTGCGGTGTGTCTGATTTGCAATGACAAAATACTATCAATGAAACGGTCGAATGTAAAGCACCACTTTGACAAGCGCCACGCAACATTCGCATCAAAATACCCTGCGAGAGACTGCGGAAAAGAAGCGTGCAAGCTACTGAGCAAGGTGCAAGCTAGCCAGCAGCAACTCCGCGTATGGGCCCGGCAAGCTGACTATAAACTTCGGGGAGTGGTGACATCGTCGAAATAGGCCGAGACTGATAATCTCTACATCACCAATCAATTTACTCTGCAAGGCCAAAATACTTTTGAGTACAGCGATCAAAGTTAACATCTTTAATTGGTGCCAATTCGCCTCCGTTCGGAACAAACATGCTGTGTATACATATGTCAATGGAGGCGGATATATCATCATTAATTTGGGCCACTTAGCCACGGAGAGCGGCAATGGCAGCCAAGTAGCTCTTGGTCCGGCAAGTTGGTCTCATTGCACACGTGTCCGAGGATAGGTCAGGGCCTGCATCTGGCTGGTCATTCCTGGTTGACCTTTTTGAGACATCGTCTGTTCACCGTTGTAGTTACAGTATATTCAGGTGGCATTCCACAGTTTTGTATTATGGATTTAGAGACGTCAAGTGATTGATTCGAGTCACGGTTTGAGAGCGCTATGTAAGACGTCCTTCTGGGTTTGAAGAAGGAATAGAAAGCTGATCTAATGAGGACACGTAGTTTGAGATTTTTTTGCAGCAAGTGCACGACAGTTATTCAGCATTTCCTCCATTATGGTGAACGAAACACAAACTTTGATGTCCCGCCCCATCATATAATAGTTTGAAAAAAACATTTTTTTCCCCTGTTGTTGTCCCACACCTTAGGATGATAGAGCCGAAGTTTGAAGTCAATCGAATGAATCCTTTAGGACGGGAGAACGGAGTTCCTCGAGGGCCCTCCTGACTGTTTTAGATCCCTCCCTACTCCAACACAATTGATTCAAACGATCATTATTGTTTCAGGCTTCTAAAGAACTTACTGATGAGCTGATTGTTTGAATCAAGTGCGTTGGAGGAGGGAGAGCTCTGAAACAGGCAGGAGATGGCTCTCGAGGAACCGGAGTTCCCTACCCCCAATTTAAGACAATGGTGTATAAGTATGACCTCTGTAAATGTGCAATGGACGCTGCTCGGGCCGATATGAAAAATAATAAGAATCATTTAAACAAAAAAAAAGAGGTACCCAGCAACAGTTGCTGCACAATAATAATACCAACAAAAACAATAGGTACCGAGTAGGTGTCGCTGCTTGGGCCGTAATAGTAATATTGTGAGGAATTCCGACAAAAACAATAGGGATCTAACAAGCAGTCCCTGCTCCCTAAGAATAATAAAAATCATAATCATAATAATAATACATTAATTTCAACAAAAACAATACGGACTTTGCAGCAGTTGCTGCTTGGTCCCTAATAATAATGTCCATCCATCAACAAAAAAAAACCCTCAAATTTCCATGTGCCGGCACCCCAAAATGGCAACAGCCCTTCAAAGTTGCCTGCAGCTCTAATTATCATCCATTCATTTTCCGATCCGCATTATCCTCAAGTGTCGCGGAGGGTGCTGGAGCCTATCCCAGCCGTCTTCAGGCAGTAGGTGGGGGACACCCTGAAGCGGGTGCCAGCCAACAACCATCCGCGCTCACACTCACACCTAGGGGCAATTTAGAGTGTTCAATCAGCCTGCCATGCATGTTTTTGGGATGTGGGAGGAAACCGGGGTACCCTGTGAAAACCCACACAGGGCCGGGGAGAACATGCAAACTCCACACAGGAAGGCCCGGTGGCCCAGCTAACCACTGGGCCACTGGGCCGCCTAATTTTTTTTTTGCCTCATCATACCCATCCTCGCGCGCGTGCACACACACGCGCACACACACACACGCACGCGCTCTCACACACACACACACACACACACACGCACTTTTTTTTTTTTAACAAAAACAGTAGGGAGCTCAGCGATTGCTGCTCAGGCCCCAATAATTTCGACAAAATGAATTGGGACCTTGCAGGGGTTGCTGCTCGGGCCCTAATAATTCCTACAAACAAACTAAGGACTTTCCAACGGTTGATGCTCAGGCCCTAACCAATAAACATATTCAAAAAAATAAGAATTCAAAGTTGTACCTGTTCATATGTCAGGCACTGCTCAGTGAGTATCTCGAGGAGCGGTGCAGCATTGCTGTCTCGTCTCTTTAACATCTCCCTTACAATCGATAGAAGGTTCCAAATGCCCTCCGGTTCTCTGCCTCTTAGAGGTCTTAGCAGACATGCCCATTCAGCAGCAGCTGGTGGCTCAGTGGACGACAGATACATGGAATTTACATCACTGCAAACACAAACACATACACACAAAAATGAGCAATTGGCAGCATAGTAAATAAACAAGGATCACAATCAAAATTGAGGATATGGTAACTATCATAGCAATGACAGTAAGACCAAGACTCTTAGGATTCCTACTGTCACATCACAGCCTCTGAAGATCGTGATGCTCTCTAGACTCTGCCACACCTCCTGGGGCCTGTTGCTGAAAGGTGCGACTTCATCCTTCTCTTGAAGACCGTTTGGCATTTTTACTAACCCTAACTTCATACCTGTCAACTTGTTCGTTTTCCCCGTATTTTATCGGTTTTTTTATCATTTCAAATCATCTACAGCGTATCACAACTTTTATACGGGAAAAAAAATTGTGAACCGATCTCACAAAGACCATTTTGGCTCAAATCCAGATCGTCTCACCTGCTGGTAGCCAACGACAATGCCGTCGTCGATCGCTACTATTGTCACGGCAAACCAGCATTTTTTTTCATCGCTGCGTACGGTAGGATTGATATACATGATGTGCGCATGCGCGCTAAGCCATTGTAAGGTTTTTTTGTTGCCTTGTAAGGGGAATCGTAATAATTTATAAAGGCAGCTATTAGCCGAGGTTGACAGGTATGTAACTTTTTCAAGTCAGCTCGAGCTGTGCTGCAAAGTCCTATGTCATCTGACCTAAATGCCGTGTCGAGGGCCTTGAAAAGTGAGCATACCTGGAGTGGCATCCAGGGTTTCTGGTTTGGAAAAACCCTGATACTTTCTCTGCAGACACAGTTTCCATACAGAACTTTATGAAGTCGAGTACTATCCCGATGTATGTGCCCAGGTCCTGGAGTTAAAACAGGTCCCACACTGTTTATTGGAAGCAGTCATGAAGTTCACTGAGTGCAGTCTCGGGCCAAGTTGTTAAAAATATTTGTGGTAGGCTTTGTTCTGTGTCTGAGAAAGGTGCATGAAGGGATGAGCAGCAGGGAGAGATGATCTGACTCGACAAGGTGTGGTAGAGTGTGGTTCTGTAGCCGTGTTTAATGTTGGAGTTCACATGGTCTATAGTGTTTCTACTTTCTGTTGGAAATTTAACATGTTGGAACTTTATGAGTGCAGTCTTTCGATTGGTCAAATTAAAATCCGAAGCAAAATGTGAATGCCATTGTGGTCGGCCCTCTGCTGTGTCTCTCTGTAGTGATGCTGTTGTTGCACCACAGTCATCATGCATGAAGATACGGAACCCCCTATCTCTGCTATTACCAGACTCCACTGCTATTACCAGTGGTGCAAAGTGCGGCCTGCAATTTGTACGCAAGCACTATGAATCTGCGGTCGAAGCCAGGTCTCAGTTACGATGAGGGTGCAGTAGTCACAAACATAGCGATTACCCGCAATGTTTAACTGCAGATCAAATACCACAGCTGACCCCTCTGTCCACACTTTGTGTTCAGCTGTGCTAAATTCTTTTGAAACTGTGTCCATGACGCTTTTAGAAGATGTAGTTCGCCAGACGAAGCCATCTGGCTCCCCCTGCGATTCTCTTCCCCCGCATTTCTTCAAGGAGGTTCTCCCAAATATTGGGCCACCGGTCTTGGCCATTATCAACAGCAGCCTCTCTTTTGGTATAGTTCCCCAACAGTTTAAACATGCTGTGGTCCAACCCTTGATCAAGAAACCTGGTCTTGATCCAGATGTGCTGTCAAATTTTAGGCCCATTTCCAAACTGCCTTTCATTTCAAAAATTCTGGAAAAAGTGGTGCACATGCAGTTGAAATCTTTCTTGGATGAACATAACATCCTGGGGGTCTTCCAGTCAGGTTTCAATACGATGCATAGCACGGAGTCAGCACTGTTACGCGTTTCTAATGACATCCTCCTGGCAAATGACACTGGAGACTACGTGTGTCTAATTTTATTGGATTTAACTGCAGCATTTGATACAGTGGATCACAGTATTCTGCTGACTCGTTTGCAGCACTTGGTGGGCATTGGCGGTCAGGCTCTTGAGTGGTTTAGGTCCTATTGAGCTGACAGAACCTTTTGTGTCAGCCTTGGCTGCTCTGAGTCACATACTGCTCCTGTGTCATGTGGTGTTCCACAGGGCTCAATTCTGGAGCCGCTGCTGTTCTCACTGTATCTGTTCCCATTGGGGTCCATCTTAAGGAAACAAGGTATTTCCTTCCACTGATCTGCAGATGACTGTCAGATCTATGTCCCACTGAGCAAAAAAGACGCTTTCTCACTCGGGCCACTTTTTATCCTGCCTGGAAGAAATCAAAACCTGGATGGCATAAAATTTCTTGAATTTCAGTGAGAAGAAGACAGAGGTGATACTGTTTGGTCCCAGTGGCCCTTATACATCCCATCCTGTAGACTTGGGGCCCCTGTCCCCTTATCTTAAGTCAACAGTCTCAAACTTGGGTCTTAAAATGGACAGTGATTTTAAACTTGACCGGCAAATTGGTGCCGTTGTTAAATCCAGCTTCTTTCACCTTATACAGATGGCCAAAGTAAAACCTCTCCTCTCTCTTGAACACTTTGAGACAGTAATTCATGCCTTCGTCACATCCCAGCTCGATTACGGCAATGCCCTTTACTTTGGAGTCAGCCAATCCTCCATTAAGCGCCTCCAGCTGGTCCAGAATGCCGCTGCTCGCCTCTTGACTGGTACTCGTAAGAGGGAGCACATAACTCCTACTCTGGCATCCTTTCAATGGCTCCCTATACATTTTAGAGTCATTTTCAAGATCCTATTACATGTATTTGTTTTCAAATCTCTAAATGACCTCGCGCCACCTTACCTCTCTGAGCTCACCTGCCCCTACACACCTGCCCGGCGCCGCAGGTCTACGGACCAGACATTATTAGAAGTACCAAGAACTAAATTGAGGCTCAGAGGGGATCAAGCCTTTTCTGTTGCTGGTCCCACTCTCTGGAATGACCTCCCACTGAACATTCGGCAAGCCTCCTCGCTGCCCATCTTTAAAACCCGCCTCAAAACTCACTTGTATTCTTTGGCATTTAACCCAGCATGACTCAGATTTGTTCTTGGTTTTGCTGTTCCGTGCTTTCTACTGTCTTTGTTAACGATTTGTTGCTTTACTGTTGTATATGTTAGTTGCTCCATGTACAGCACTTTGTATGCAGCGATGGTTGTTTGAAAGTGCTCTATAAATATGGTTGATTTGAGTTGAGATCGTCCACTTTGTTGACGATTCATCTGGCTTTGGCGAGGTAAAGGCTCGGAAGAGGCGTTCTGCATGAGTTGTTCTTCAGCCTTGGGAGGAGGCCAGATCTGCGGACCCCACTTTTGCTTCCTCTGCCTGCGCTACTTCTCAACCCCGACAACAATCCACATGAGTTCGGTGGTCTCGCTAGTTCAACTGGGATGTTGTGCTTGGAGTGAAAGTCGCTTGAAACTCTTATTTTGTGTGTCTGAGGTGAGGTCCAAAAGTTCCTGGCTCATGGATCAGTCCATTACCGAAGCATACATGAACAAATTGCCCAGATAAGCAAAGATTAAAACAAAAACAAAAGCACTGAAAGAGAGGAGTCACTGAATCAGCTATCATACTGCACATTATACAA